CTTCAAGTAACCAGTGAATAAATCAAGGATTTATTCAAAACAATTAGTTATAAATATGCCTGACCTGGGGCTGGGGTTGTAGCTCAGTGGTAGAGCGCTTGCTGAGCATGTGTGAGGCACTGGGTTTGATTCTCAGCACCACATAAAAATAAATAAAGGTTAAATTCTCTTTAAAAAAATAATAAATAAAATAAAATATGCATGACCTAAAATACATAGTGCATGAAATTTCCAGATAATTACAATACCATATTTGGGGAGAGATCAAGTTTAGAATTATGACCTTTAGGTGCTTCATTAGCTTCTTTATTTATTTGTTTTGTTTTAAACATACATAAAATTCATCCAAACAAAATGTACAGTTCAGAGGTATTTTGTGTACTTAGAGAGTTGTAGACCTACCTTCAAAAATCTAATTTTAGGATACTTTCAACACCCCAAAGAGAAATCCAACACCCATTAGCAGTCAGTCTCTTCCTCTCCTGCCTCTGTACCTGGCAACCATTAATCTGATCTATCTGTATAGATTTGCCTATTTTGAATGTTTTAAATCAAATCATATTATATGTGATTTTTTATGCCCAGTTCCTTCCATTTAGCATAATATTCTCAGGGCCCACCCATAATACAGGTATCAGTACTTCATTCTTTTGTTGTCAAATAGTATTCCATTGTATGAATTATTTATTCATTCATCAGTTAGTGGACATTTAAGTCATTACTATTTTGAGGCTGTTATGAATAATGCTACTACAAACTTTATATACAAGATTTTTGTGAACATGTACTTTCATTTTCTTGGAGATATACCTAGGAGTGGAATAGCTAGGTCACATGGTTTTAAGGACCCACCAAATAGCTTTCAAAAGTAGCAATTTGCCCTCCCATCAGCAATATATGAGGGCTCCACTTTCTCCACCTCCCCTCCAACACATAATTGCCTGTCTTTTTTTATTATAACTATCTTAGAGGGCCTCTCACTGTAGTTTTGATTTACATTTTCTGATGACTAATGAGGTTGAACATCTTTTCATGTGCTTATTGGCCATTTGTATATCTTCTTTGGATTCATGTCTGTTGAGGTCCTTTTCCTGTTTTTTTATGTGATTGTTTGCCTTTTAATGGAATTATAAGTGTCCTTTATATAGTCAAGATTGAACCCCTGTGAGCCTCAGTTTCGTCCTCCAAATTTAATGATGCTCAAAATATTCTCCTTACTCAGGCAGGCATAGTAGTGCATACCTGTATATCCAGCTACTCGGGAGGCTTGGGCAGGAAGATTGCCGGAAGATTGTGGATAACACAGCTAGATCTTATCTCAAAAACAAAACAAAATATTCTATTTACTAAGATAGAAAACTAACACATATGGAAAATAATGTAAATGACAAAGTTTTTTTAAAAAAAAAATACATGATCTGTTTCATTTTATCAAATTTTGGCCATTTGAAACTGAGGAAATCTGGAATTTCTTTTTTCTATAATCATAATATATTTTAACTAAAATAACTAATAAGTGCACTAAATCCTAAAGGCTAATTTTTTTCATATTTTAATTTTGTCTTAACCATGCCAATGGTTTACTCACAGTATCTAAAAATAAAAGATTAGTATTGGATTGAAAAATATTTACAAAGTGGGTTTGCCTCTGGGGAGAATTCTGGATCACAAGAAGACAGGATGACTTTGGTATATTTTATACTATATGCATGTAGGGTCATTTTTAAAGATAAAATTTTGACAGAATTTGAATATGAACTATAGATAAGATCATATATCAGTCTATTTCATGATTTTTATAATTATATCATGTTATATGAAAGGATTTTGTTCTCAGAAAATCCACACTGATGGAATTGGTGCTGAGAGATTCCTTGTGTCCAATTTATTAACCTCAAATGGCTCAGAAAAAAAACATTCATGTACATATAGAGAAAGAGTGATAAAGTGAATGAGATCAAATGACATCATCAATTGGGGAACCCGAGTGAAATGTATCTTGGAATTCTTTGAAGTATTCTTGCCCCTTTTCCTTGACTTCAAAATTCAGTCAAAATAAGAGGTTAAGGACCAGGGTCAGTGGCGCAAGCCTGTAATTCTAACAGCTCAGAAGGCTGAGACAGGAGGATTGCAAGTTCAAAGCCAATCTCAGCAACTCAGCAAGGCCCAGTCTCAAAATTTAAAAAAAAAAAAAATTAAAAGGACTGGGATGTAGCTCAGGTGTAAAGCACCCCTGGGTTCAATCCCTGTACCACAAAAATTAAGGGACTGGGGGTAGAACTAAGTGATAGAGCATGTGCTTAGCAGGAAGGAGGCCTTGGGTCCAAACCTCAACACCAAAAGTATAAAAAAAATCAACAAAAGTTTAAGTGAGTTTTAATTTAAATTAAAAAATAAGGAAGAATTTAAAAATAAAAAGAACTTCCAAAATATTCTTGGTTTTGTGTATATATGAAACTTGATCATCTTAGGAGGGTAATAAGTAAAAACTCAGGTAGGGGAAAACTTACTTTTTGAACCTCATCAAATAAATTACATGTTTACAAATAACTTGGAAGGTATTAGAGAGTCTTTTTTTAAAAATAAGTAAGATGGTGCTGGGGTTGTGGCTCAGTGGTAGAGTGTTTGCCTAGCATGTGTGAGGCACTGGGTTTGATTCTCAGCACCACATATAAATAAATGAATAAAATAAAAGTCCATCAACATCTTTAAAAAAATTAACTAAGGAAATAACCCAGAAGGCATTAGAAATTTTTTTTAATTATATGAACTAGGAACCAAAAAAAAAGAGTAGAAATGAGAAGTGATCCCACAATCCCATATTTTCTGGCTGCTTTGTTTCTTGCTTTGGCGTGTAAGTAGATAAAGCATTTATCTTTCCCACGAGGCTCAACCAGGCAGGAACATTTTAAACCCACAAGAGGAGTAAATGGAATCTTCACAGTTGAAAGACAAAAGCCAGTGGATGTCCATTACCACCTCCTGATCTCTGATCCAAAAAATAACCTAAGCAGTGGTAATTGCCACCCGGTGCCTCTTAACGCAGCAACGCTGGGAGCTGATGGTTTCCTTCACCCAGGAAATCTGAGGATTTACACTCTGAAGTCAGCATCTCCAAGGAAAGAAGCCACATTCCCTCCACTCTGGAAGGTCCGCTGGAACAGACTCTGTTTCCCACATTATAAACCCATCTTAGGTTTTTGGAAAGCAAGAAGATTTTTTTTTTTTAAACTGTACAGAATTTGAGAGAAAATGCTTCCAGCCACATTCCCTAATATCACCCTATGGAAGACCTATGGAAGATCCCCCACCCACCTTGCCTCCTCCTCCTAGTAGTCTGTGTACTGGCAATTCCCACTCCCCTCCCCTTTTTTTTGGCACTGCTGAAAGGCTGGGATCGAACCTGGGTCCTTGTGACTGCCAGGCTAATGCTCTACCGCTGAGCTCTACCCCCAGCTCCCTACAATTTTCTTATTATGTCTTTTATGATCAGGAAAAATTACAAATGAACATTATTTATTAATATCTACAGAATTCTTCCAAAAAGTTTTTTTTATTATTATTGCAATGGTCAACATTTGAAAATACTTCAGATATCTTTAATTAATAGGTAAATATGTACAAAGATAGAATTATGCACAGTTTCCAGACTAGGGAAGGACAGAAAGACTACATTGTTCTCAGTGGTCTCCTCTCCATGTAGCTTAAACAAGAATCTCAGAGGCTAATTTTAGATGGGGAGTTTTCAGAAAAACTCTTCTCTGAGCCCTGAAGGGAACATGTAGTGGCATGTAGTGACACAGGAGGAGAGAGGAGAAGGCCACTTTCCACACCCTGCCCTCAGCTCTGCCACTACGGCAGACCACGGGCCCACTGCTAGAGTTCCTTCCACTCATCCAAAGACCAGGCCCTCCTCCATCTTCCCAAGCACCAGTATCACCCTCTTCCCCTATTATTTTTTAAGATGTTTTGTTCTTGAAAAATGCTCCCATGGCAAAACCACAGATCAAAAATAACTTCTATTTTAATGAGGGGTTGTACATCAGAACTCCTAAATTAATTTCCAATTTAAATACTACCCAAGTGGATCAGTTCCTTCAACAGTTAACGCTGGCTATCCTATCACAACAAAACAAGGTGGTTTCTCATCCAGAACTGTCTCCCTGCATATTGCTTTGACTGTTACTAATCCACAGAGGCTCTGCTCACAAAGCACATCACACAATGCTCTGTGTTTATGTAAGTCATTATTCCAAGTGTGGTCCGTGAGCATCACCTGGAAGCCTGTCAGAAATGAAAAGGCAGGGGCTCTGTGCCAGGCTTTCTGAGTCAGAAACTGGGGAAAGAGCTCACGAAACTGCACCGGCACCAGCTCTCCTCAGGATTCTGATGCGTACAGAAGTCTGACAATCCCTGATGTAATCGAACCCGTTAAGCCAAAAAGGAAAAGAAACAACAGTAAAAGAGAGAAAAAGAAGGAAAGCAAGAGCAGGGAAGGGAAAAGGGAAAGCCTGCTCACAAGGTGTTGAATTGTGTCAACTAGCAAGGTGTGGGTCCTTGAGAGGAGAATTAAAACTCGGAAAACCAGCCAAGGAGCCCCTGGGGTCACAGCATCCCACCACTCAACAGGCACACACCACTTCTCAAAGATGCCACGAAGCGTCTCCTGTGCTGATGGAGAGAGAGAACGCTCTGCTAGCAAAAAAAAACAAATTTTTAGGGCTGGGGGTTGTGGCTCAGTGGTAGAGCACCTGCCTAGCACGTGGAAGCACAGGGTTCGATCCTCAGCACCACATAAGAATAAATCAATCAGGTAAAGGTATTGTGTCCATCTACAACTAAAAATATATATATTTTAAAAAATCTTTTTTATCTCCAGGTAGAACTGTCAAAATCTGCTTCACCCCCTCCAAAGCCACCCACCTCTTAGCCATGACTTTGGAGGTGTCTAGGTTTTGCTCTGGAAGTCATGTGCTCACCTTTTGTCTTTGTTTTTCCAGCAAAGGGTTACCTTCCAGTTCGACCTTTACCTTAGAAGAGGGGACCATCTACTTGACTGCTGAGCCCAACGCTCTGGAAATGCAGGACGATAATGCCTCCGTGCTTGATGTCTATTTAGTAAGTCATTTTTTTTTTAATTTCTTCCCCTCCTCTTCTGGTTGACAGATGGATCCAGGCCATGGCTACTACAAGAATAGGTTCTACGAAACCAGGCATGCTTGGGTTTTGAAAGAAACAATGGCACCCCACCTTCTATAAAGGATGTGTCTTTTCACAAGCTGTATTTCCTACAGTTCATATAGAACATTACACAAAAGAAATCTAGGGTCATATTCAATCACCACATATAACAAGAGGACAAATCCCCTTAGGTCCAGGCAAATAGGGCTCCTTGGGGTGATTCCCAAGGAAGTCATGCCTTTCTTTGGCTCTTCTTCACTTTGGTATTGCCTCCTTGGATAGGTTAGTAAGCTGGGAGGAACTAGGTCATGGGAGGAACCCGAATTCAGCACTGAAGAATTCTGGCTGGCCCAGTTAGAGTCACCACCAACCAGTTGTGTGAAGTACATAGAGCTTAGCTGTGACTGTGTGCCCTTAATGCCAGAGGAGAGAAATAATGCCCACCCTGCCTGTGTCACAGGCTGCTTTGAGGAACATGACCAGTCTCGTGTGGGGACCTCCTTTAGTGCCTGTAGGATTGTCTGCGTAACCCTAATTGTATTGTTAGATGATGTGAGAAGGATACCCTGATGCATTACACTGAGAAGACTAAGGATTTTCCCTGCCAAATACATCTCACGTTCATTCTCCACGTGCTCGTGCACCTGTGCAAAATCACATGCAACAGGGAAAGTGGATTGGAATTTTCTATTTTCTTATGTTTTCCTAAACTTGAGCCATTGCTCCTCGCCATACCTGGTTTACCAGCTCACACTGGGAATCGGTACCACCTGATGTGGCATCTCCACACCCCTCAGGGGCCCTTGAGGCTGAATCTTAGGTCTCTCCATATCTCATTCTGGCACTGAATTTTCTCAAGTGTGCTCTGTAGAACATCAGTCACCTAAAGTGTTATTTTTGAGCGCACAGTCCTCTAGTGGTTTCCCAGTGCTCCTGAAGTAAAACCCAAAGTCCTCAAGGCCCTACATGGTCTGGCCTCCCCTGCCTTTGGGACCCCCCCCTCCTTCTGGGCCTCTGCCTTTCTCACTGTTGCTATTTCAATTATACTGGCCTCCTTGATGTTCCTCCACCAAGCCAAGCATATTCCTGCCTTGGGATCTTTGCATTTGCTATTCTGTCTACACTCTTTCCCAAAGTCAATTCATGCTTATTCCCTCATTTCCTTCATGTCTCAACCCAAACATCTCCTTCTCCAACAGGCTTTCCTTGAACACCCTATATAAAAATAGCAGCTCCTCCAACAACCACCGTGAAAGAATTTTTTTCCCCTTCTTAAAGTACTGGGAATTGAATCCAGGGGCACTCTTACACTGAGCTGCGTCTCCAACCCCTTTTATTTTATTTTGAAACATGGCCTCACTGAGTTACCCAGGCTGACCTCAAAGTTGGGATCCTCCTGCCTCAGCCTCCCCACTAGCTAGTATTATAGACATGTACCACTGCACCTGACTAGGAAGAATTTTTTTCATAACTTCTAAATATATTTCTTGCTGCATAAATAGATTATTTTCCCACCAAGCCATGCTCCTCCATTACTGCTTTTAAAAAGTAAGTTATAGAATATCACACAATTCTCACAGCATATTTGGTCCCCTAAGCCACCCACTCAGGAAAATAGGGAATTAAATCGCAGGAAAGCAAGGGGGTTTTTGTTGTCTGTTTGGTTTTTGGATTTGTTTTTGGTTTTGTTGTGTTGTTGTTGTTGCTTGTTGTTATTTTTGTTTGGTTGGATTTTTGTTTGTTTTGAGAAGGTTGTTTCTAATTTTTATTTTGTTTGGTTTGATCTCTTGCTAAGCTGAGTCCATCTAAAAGTAGAAATCAGAAAAGCATTTCAGAAATAAGCCAGGGAAAATCTCATCTTCATGAGCCAAGGCTTTAGGGCCACTTTCACATGTCTTTACAAAAACAAGGCTTGCACCAGCTGGAAAGCTACCAGGCTCCTAAGTGAAGTGTAAAAGCACAGGGTGGTCACTGGCTTGGCTACTGCCAGGTGCTTATCTGTTATCTCTTGTTCCTTTGGTAGGAAGGTTGTCTTATTAATCATTTTGCTTTTTCCTCCTTGGTATTATCCATTTCATTCCTAAGAATACTGCCATTTATTTGGTTTTAGTAGTGTCTTACTTCACGACTGTCTCACGTTGTCTTTAATTCTTTGACACTGAAAAGCTAAGCATTTCAAAAAAGTAAATGCTTGCCTTGGAAGCCACAGGGGAAAACCTGAGTATTCATTTGGTCCTATTGCAAGCTCTTGGGGACCAGTTAGAAATAAAGGAGTTTACAGCTGAAGGAGACAGTGGTGGCTTGCTGGCTGGCGTGATCATCTGTCATTCTTTCAAGCACAGCTGATTGTGATTCGGAAGGGAAGGAGGAGAGAAAGGAAAAGGGAGAGAACAGGCAAGCTGTGCAGAAGGTAATGGGCAGTAGAAATGTTTCTTGCTAAGCTGTAAAAAAAACTGTAGCCTAATTCTGTTTTGTAGCTAATAGCAAAAAGCTATGAAGCATTTTTGAGTATTTTCATACATTTCCTACACTGCCCTAAAATATATACATATGTGTGAGTGTGTGTGTCTGTGTCTGTGTGTGTGTGTGTGTGTGTGTGTGTGTATAACTTAGTTTTTATATAGCTCATTTAATCCTCACACCAACCCTCTAAGGATACTATCTCCATTTTTAGGCAAGGAAATTGAGGTACACAGAAAGTACCCAATTTGCCCCAGGACATGCAAACAGAGGAATCAATAAGAGGGATTCAAATCAGTAGGATTTAACCCAAAGCAATTAACCCACTGATAATTGCTGTGCTGTGCTGCCTGGATTAGGAATTATGCTGCCCTGTAGTTCACCAATTAGACTTGCAGAGATCAGACAAAGTAATATGACAAGAAAAATATAGAGGAATAAAGATAGATAAATTTGGATTAATAAAAATTGACTTTTTAAATTTCAATATGGAATGTGAAAGGGAAACACTTTTGCATTGTTGGAAGGGCACAGGAATAATAATAGGATTTATTGTTGGAATAATAATAATATGAATGGTACATACCATGCACCATGCACAATATCAGTCCTTGTCTTGTATTAGCTCATCCACAAAGATAGTTGTTATATTTGCCTTCATTCATATGTATAAGGAAACTGAAGATTAATTTGAGCAGTTCTCAAAACTGGTAAATTATAGTCAAAATTCAAATCTAGCCCATGGTCTCTCTGGCCTAAACTTGAACCCCATGTGGGACCATTTCATTGTTATTGACAACTAATGCAAGTCAAACTTCCATCTCATTGGACTTGTGCTCCTTCCTTATGAAGGTAAGAGATGGATCCAAAAGGGGGGGGGCGGTTATTAAGAAAATTTTTAATAAAATTTTATTTTTAGGGCTGGGGGTATAGCTAAGTGGTAGAACACTTGCCTAGCATTTATTTGTGAGGTCCTAGATTCAATCCTCAGCACCTTCAAAAAACATTCCATTTTTAGGCTGGGCACAGCAGTGCACGCCTATAATCCTAGCAGCTCTGGAGCCTGAGGCAAGCTAGATCTCGAGTTTAAAGCCAGCTTCAGCAACAGCAAGGCTTGCTAAGCAACTCAGTGAGACCCTGTCTATAAATAAAACACAAAATAGGGCTGGGAATGTAGCTGAGTTGTTGAGTGCCCCTGAGTTCAATCCCTAGTACCAAAAAAAAAAATCCATTTTTAATATTTCCTATCTGGTTATTATTTAATGTAAAGTAGTTCTGAGAACTGCTTTGACCTCAAGACCCCAATACATTCTTAACAATTATTGAGAATCCCAAAGAGCTTTTGTGTATGTAGGTTATATCTTCAAAATTAAAACAGAAAATTTTAAAATACTTATTAGCTCACTTAAAATATTTTGTTAATTTAAATAACATTTTTGTAAATGGAACTATATTTTCTGATGTAAAAGTAAATTTCATGAAAAGAGTAGCAACATTTTACATTTTTGTAAATCCTAGTGTCTAGGTTAATAAAAGAAATTGGATTCTCCTATCTATTTCTACATCAATCTTTGAAATATGACGCATCATTTTGCTTCTGGAAACTCTATTAAACACACACAAGAATGAAAAGGCAAATAATATCTGTGTTCTTAGGAAACGAGTTTGACCCCATGACCCCCACACAGTTTTTTTTTTTTTTAGCTTCTACAAAACCAAGTGAGACTTTAAGGATAGAGAAATAGGTCCCTGGAGCCTATGCCTGTCTCTGCTTCTCATTAATTATTGATCTTGAATTAGTCACCCTCTTTGGGCATCAGTTTTCTCATCTATAAAATGGATTTTTAAATCATCTCTGAGACCCCAGCCAGCTCTGACTTACAAAAAGTTGCAGAAATAAAGTTTTCCAAAGAAGCCACAGTTGTTTCTCCAAATTCTGCTGTTTCATCACCTCCTCTGCCAGAAACCTTCACAGTATTTAAACTTAAACTTTAGGGCAGAGCATCTAGAACATTCTGCACCTTTAACTTATACTGCCAGGATGTATGTTCATGCTGGAAATTTTTATTGTTTTATTTTGCATCCTCTTCCAGATCTGAAGGGCCTAAGCCATTACCCTCCCTTCAGTGTTTTCATTTGCTTCTACATTATGGAAAATTGCTGTAAAAGAAAAGCAAAAAAGAGGAAAACCATTCTTGCCTATGCATTTCTCTCTCCTTTCTTCCTGACCTAATTTGAAAGCTCTGGATTTTAGCCATCTTTACTTGAAGGGCAGTTGGAGGCTTCTCAAGTGACATGCTGTTCAGTGTTGTCACCAAATGTAGTCAGATCTCTCTTGGAATATTTCTCCCCCTGAAGATACAACTGCTCATGGCATTTTTCTATTAGCAGTTGTAACCTAATCCCTACTGCTTTTATTTACACACTAATGAATAATACTATTTATATCCCCTTAAAATATGCAGATTTAAACTGAA